TTTTTTTTGACATCCTCGGGAGTAGCTAGTTAGAAAGTCTCTGTTAACTCAGCAGCAGCCAGAGCTGAGAGCTTCCCAGTTTCAGTCAACTGCAGAGGGGGTGACCCAGCACAAGAAAACAGGAAAATGACTACCAAAGAAGTAGCTAAAAAATAGAAATGGCCAAACTAGAAGCGGAAGAAAATGAAAGAAAACATCAGAGACTGCTTCAATTAACAAAACTCGAGACAGAGCAGAGAGAAAGAGAAGAGAAAGCCAAAGAGGAAGCCCACAAGAGAGAGATGGAGCTGAAAGAAAAAGAGATGGAGCTGAAAGAAAAAGAAATGGAGGAGAGAGAAAAAGAAAGGAAGCATGAACTGGAAGTAGCAAAGGCTAGGCCGGATACAACAGCCAGTCCTAACAACCCCTCTCCAGGTACCACTTCCCATCCCAGAAAATTCCCCACCTACAAGGCAGGCAATGATACTGAGGCCTTCTTAGAAAATTTTGAAAGGGCCTGCCTTGGATACAGCATCGCTGCAGACCAGTACATGGTAGAGCTGAGGCCGCAGCTCAGTGGACCCTTAGCAGAGGTGGTGGCTGAAATGCCTAAGGAACACATGAACAGTTATGAGCTTTTTAAAAACAAGGCCAGACTCAGAATGGGGTTAACACCCGAGCATGCCCGTCGGTGGTTCAGAGCCCTAAGGTGGAAACCAGATGTGTCATTTACCCGACATGCCTACCACATTGACAAAAATTGTGATGCCTGGGTATCAGGAGCAAATGTTAAATCTCTGGAAGATCTGGTTTCCCTAGTAAAAATGGAGCAGTTTTTAGAGGGTGTTCCTGAGGAAATAGAAAGGTACATCCTAGATAGGAAGCCCAAAACTGTAACCGAGGCGGGGGAGATTGGAGCCAAATGGGTGGGGGTGGCAGAAAAGAAAAAAACTAGTAGCAGTTGGAGCGAATATCAGAAGGGGCACCCCAAAACCAAACCTTACCACCGGGGACAACCCAAGGCCCCACCCACATCCCAAGAGAAACCCCAGACGCCTTCTCACCCCACCACACCAGTCTCCACCAAGCAACATCGCCCCGGTGATACCTTAGCAGGGCGATGTTTTAAATTTAATGAATTGGGACATATAAAGGCTCACTGCCCCAAGAACCCCAACCGATTACAGTTCATTACACCCCAATCACACCAAAGATCCCCAGACCCAGATGCCTCTCTCATACCCTCGGAGCGAAGGGAAACCTTGAGAGTGGGCGGAAAGAAGGTTATCGCTTGGAGGGACACTGGGGCACAAGTGTCAATTATCCACCAATCCCTAGTGGACCCCAAACTCATCAACCCGGAGGCTCCAGTGACAATTCAACCCTTCATGTCACAGTCTGTAACCTTGCAGCCAAGTTGCATGTCCAGTACAAAGGCGGGTCAGGAATGTGGACTTTTGCAGTATATGACAATTATCCCATTTCCATGCTGCTGGGGGAAGACTTGGCCAACCATGTGAAGCTAGCAAAGAGGGTGGGAATAGTCACCTGCAGCCAGGCTAAACAAGCTTTCACCCCCATTCCTGTTCCTGAGCCATACACCAGGGCCCTGTTTCTGTTACCAGAGACCCAAACAAAGGTGGTGGACCCAGAACGACTGCAACAGCCGTAGTGGATCCAATCCCAGAGACCCAGAAAAGCCAGTCCCAGAATCGGAACTGGCAACGCAACCAGCACCAGAACCATTGCCAGCACTGAGTCCAGCGCTTGCAAACCCGTCTACAACTTCAACCCCAGAGGGCACCAGCGAGCCTGACCTGGCAGAAGCAGCAGATAACCCTAACCAAGAGGCTCAGCCAGAGCCTGAGATACCACATGGTGCACCAGCGGAAAGTGGTTCACAGTCAATGGAAACAGCCCCAGCACCTGCATCGCTTCCAGAGGGACCAAGCCCCAGTCCACAGTCCAAGGAGGAACTGATGTCTCCAGCATCAAAGGAACAGTTCCAGGCCGAGCAGGAAGCAGATGACAGCCTTCAGAAAGCTTGGGCGGCGGTGCGGAGCACCCCACTGCCTCTCAGCTCTTCTAACCGATCCCGGTTTGTTGTAGAACAAGGACTTTTATACAAGGAGACTCTTTCTGGTGGGCACCAGGAGGACTGGCATCCTCAAAGACAGTTGGTAGTTCCCACTAAGAACGGGGAAAACCCCTTGAGTTGA